AGTCTCTGGAGCGCCAGCTGCGGGAGCTGGAGGACCGCTGCGCCTTGGAGGCTGCTGGGTACCAGGACACGGTGAGCCGCCTGGAGGAGGAGATCCAGGCCCTGAAGGAGGAGATGGCCCGCCATCTGCAGGAGTACCAGGACCTCCTCAATGTCAAACTGGCTCTGGACATCGAGATCGCCACCTATAGGAAGCTGCTGGAAGGAGAGGAGAGCAGGTGACGCAGCTTTGAAAACCGGAGACGTTTGCAACAAAAACAGAGAAACAAAAACTTGTTTTTCTTCTTTCTGCCATCAGGATCACCATCCCAGTTCAGAGCTTTTCCAACCTGCAGTTTAGAGGTCAGATGCAGCAATAATATTCTCTTAGAATAAAATGTTTTTGGTTGGAAGAGGGGAAATTTTATTTAATTGTGAGAGTAGAAAGTAGAAGCTTTTAGTAAAATTTGTTCATTATTTATGTTTTAATGAGTCAAGGCTAAATATCTTATATAGAATTATTATTATTACCATTTAAAGTAATTAAAACAAAATAAATTTAATTTAAAATTTAATGTCATGCAAATAAATGTAAATAAAAATAAATGTTAGCTTCTTTGTTGATTGTAGGAATGTAAAGAGAGATATTTATGACTATTTTTATTGCCAGTTAAGATAATTAAAAACAAAAACTTATTGGCTAGTTTGGTGATGAAAATGTGCAGTGATAAATTTATGAGATCTATTTTTTATTTAAAATCACAAAATTGTGAAATAAACTGAAATAATAATATATTTTAGCTACATTAGTTTTAATAGAAATGTACAGTGACACATTTAAGATTCTTCATTGACCATTTTAAAATGATAAAATAAAATTTAATGAAATAAATGTTAGCTACTTTGGTGATTATAGGAACGTAAACGGGGACAACTCACCAGTTAATGAAAAACAGAGTAAAAAAAATATTTGTATTAGCTAGTGTGATGAAAATATTATTATTTTTGACATTTAAAGTCATAAAACAGTAAAATAAACCAGAATAAAAAAAAATTATAACAATAAATGTGTGAAGCAACACATTACCCTTAATACTCATTTACTCTGAAAAACAGCTTTCTATTTTTTTGTTTTGTTTTTCAGTCGGTCGTTTAATAAATTTCCATAAATTAGTACGGACAGTTTAAAGGTCTCATTCTAATTCATTAATCAAAATATTTAGATATACTCATTCCAGTCAGTCTTTAGTGTTTATTATTATATCAAAACTATATTAAACAATATTTAATATTTAGTTTTTAGTTTAGTAATAAACAATATTTAGTGTTTATTACAAAGCTTAGTAGGAAGGGAAATGTTTTTTAGATTTTCTTGCTTTCTCCAGAGACTCTCAATGTTTTTTTTATTATTATTTTTTAATCTGTTTTCGGGTTAGAAACTAATTTGGACACTAAAACTCCGGAGGCTCATGTGAAGCGAAGCATCCTGGTCCGAACTGTGGAGACCAGAGACGGGGAGGTAGGAGCTGCACCGCTCATGTTTCCCCGCCAGGTGGCAGTGTTGAACAAAGAGTTACTTTTTGCTGTTTTTAAGCATTAAATCTGTTTTTTTCCTTTTCAGATCATTAAGGAGTCGACCACTGAACACAAAGACCTTCCTTGAATTTCAAAGAATTTCTCCATTATGTCCTGAAACACATTCAGATGTTTCTGAATGAAATATTCCTTTATTTTCAGTTTAAACCTCAAAGCTGCCTCCATTATGAAGCGCTTTCTAATCAGTTTAGCATCCTTACAATTACTTTCAGACTAAAATGTCCACTTTTAAGTTGATGCAGTCGTGTAACCGATTCTACTAAGATGTAAAACATTACTGTAGCTGAAAAATGAGATTTTATTTGCATTGATTCCAGTAATCTGTCATAGAAGAGGCCTTGAAATGTAGGTTGTGTTGATCTAATTTGTAGTGTTGTGGAGGTTGATGTGTGGTTACGTGTATGTGAAACGTGGTGGGCAGGAGGGAGCGCTCGGTTCGTAAACACTGAAACTGGATTTTAGGTGAGAAACAGGAGGTGAGTTTATGTGGTAGCAGCTTTTGACAGAACGACAGCTGAATCCCAGCGGTTTGCTTCTACATTCGCCTGGTGCTATTTTCTATTTCCTTCAGGAGTTTCATCCACGTCTCTTTTTAAAGTCCTGAATATCTGCATGTTGTTCCGTTAGACATCTAACAAGCTGAGGTTTCAGCAGATTAATTTGAGTTTAGTTTTGCATCTTGGATTGGTAATTGAGTTTCTTCACTTTTTTCTAAACCAGTTTGCATTGTCTCAAGCAGAGTGACTCCTAACAGTATTTCTGTGTGAATAAAATGATCGGTGCCTTTTAATCAGTCAGAAGAGTTAGAAACAATAAATCAAGCATCCTTGTACGGAAGAAGATTAGTGCCACTGGGAAAAAAACAAAAACAATTCGGACTTTTTTACCCCCCACTCAGAATCAGATTTGTTTAAATTGTTTTTGCACCATCAGGAAAATCTAGTCTTTAAATTTCTTATAAATCTACCAAATAATTTTGGTACAGGTTTACAAATTCTATAACGAGGAAGAAACAGATATGTGATTATTTTCATACACTAACATCATAATTAACATAAAACCTAAGAGTGTTTGGGTTTTTATTTGGATTTTGTCATAGATGGACAGAATTAGAATTCTAACGAAAAAGAAAATTCTGAGCTTAAAGTCAGAATTCTGAGGAAAGAAATAGCAAAATTCTGAATTTAAAAAGTGGGAATTTTGAGATAAAAGTTGCAATCCTGAAATTAAAGTAAAAATTTTAAGGGAAAAAAGTGAGAACAAGTCAGAATTCTGAAAAGTTTGAATTCTGAGGAAAAAAGTGAGGATTCTGAGAAAAGGTCAAAATTCGGAGAAAAAAATTCTGAGGAAAAAAATCTTAGAATTGTGATTTTAAAAAAGTGGGAATTTTGAGATAAAAAGTTGAAATTCTGAAATTAAAGTCAAAAATTTGAGGGAGGAAATTAAGAATTTGAATTCTGAGGAACAAAAAGTTTTGTAAATCTGAGACTGAGATAAGTCAGAATCTTGAGAGAGAGAGAAAATTATTTTGAAAAAAATGTATTTTGAAAGTCAAAATAAAAGTTGGAACTGTGAGTTTAAAGTCAGAACTCTGGGGGGAAAAAAATCAGAATTTTAAATTTATTTTTTATTTTGGTGGCTCTAATCCGTTTCCTGATTTAAAAACTGCAGTTCTTTGAGGCCGAAGCGTCCGGACCAGGCTCTCATCTTGCAGACAATGAAGACGGGCAGGTCTCTGCTGAAGGCGTGGAAGCTAACGCGACCTTTGCCCTACATACCGGGGTTCCTGCTCAGGAGCGGCAGCCAGTTTCTGTGGCGTTGGGCCAGATAGCGGATGATGAGTAGAGCAGCAGAACTCGCTCTCTGACTTATTAGGTGTTTTAGTTCTGGAGGATGTTGGCATTGGGAAGATGGAGGCACGTCAGACCTGGCTTTGGTTGGAGAGCGCCGACTGAAACACGCTGACAGGCGCTACCAAGATCGGAGCGCCGCCTCTGTCCCTCACCAAGGTCACCGACTGATTCATGCCTCCTACTTTGTCTCCTTTCCTTTCTAACACACTTTGATGTATTTTCTGCCCTTGTTTAGTTTTTTTTTAATGTTTAATGTTATTTTTTTTTGCTTAGGAAATGTTTGCTGATTTAGCTCTGACCAATGCTAACAATAAAATACTTTCTTTCCTGGAGATGTTTTGTGTTTGTATTTAAATGCGTCACTCTGACAGATGGCTCCTGGGGTTTTTCTGCCTGCTGACACATGCATGCAACATATCAGAATAATTTCAGTAAAGATGAGCATAATATGTGCAGGGATTGTATTTGGCATTCAGGCGGTTTCAGTGTCAAAAACATCTCAAATAAAGTGAATTAACATGATATGTGAACTAAATTTCACTTCCTGCACTGCAAAAAAACAAAATCTTCCCCAGTAGTTTCTACTCCAAATTTCTTATTACACTTGGATTAAAACAAAACAAAACTAACTTAAAGTAACTTTTCTGCAAGATAAATGAGCATGATTTAAGTAAATGATCCCTAAATATTAATTTTTAAAAATGCTTTCTGTGTCTTTGCCTCAAGCTCTTGATATTCCATTTTTATTTCAGGAGTAAATAAATTCTGCTCCTAAAAATCAACCAAAAAACTAGAAATTATAACTAATAAAAACTAAACTAAAAATAAGAAATTTAATTAAAAAAAACTTGCAAACTGATTTAGAAAAATAAAAAGTTCCCTTTGAATAAAAAAAAAACTATAATAGGAAACTGCAAATTATTATAACCCTGCAGGAAGAAGTGACTTGGTAAGAAGGTGTAAAGTCCAGCATGTTTCTCTTATCAGGGGGACAGAAAGGGGTCTCAGGCTGGTGCTGAAGGAATTCCAGGCAGATAAAACTTTCCAGAAAAGTCTTCTTGCACAACGACAGGAAGGGTCGGGGTTAACTCCATGCATTTTGTTTTCGTTCCTGTTATCTCTCTGCAGTAGGTGTGAAGTGGATACAGCTGTCATGTACGCACAGAGCATAAGAAGGCAACTTAACCAATCCAAGTTACGTTAACTTATAAATGTGATTTTATTAAATTCATGTGTGTAAAATTAAAGCCTTAAAAATGTATAAAATTCATTTTTTAAAAGTTAGTTGGCCTTAAATAGGTCAAGCAGAAACGATTAAGTAGTTTTAAATTTACAGATCCGTCCTTGGAAGGTGCAGCCTTCGGATCCGAACACGGCCGGAGGAACTGGACCGGTTTGGGACGTCTCCTATCGAGGACCATCAAGGTTTCAGATGAACAAAAGATGATGGAGATTAAAATAAAAAATCTGAGTCCTAAAATTCTCAACTTTTTTTGCTAAGCGTTCAAAGAACATCCAGCAATTCTGTGGTGACATTTTTGTTAAAACCAGATTTTACAATGCAGTAAATTCAGATGATATTGTGGTTTAGTCTGAAAATCGGAACAAAAATTTCACACCATAAGTTGCATTCAAATTAATTAAATTAAAACAGGTTTTTTCTTTTTTTCTGTTTGTCGGTGAAACATCAAGACGATACAGGAGATGGTGTTGGATCTGGTTGTGCTGTTTCTCCATCATGGATTCTCAGATGGTTTTTCAAAGTTCCTGACCGACGGAAGCATCGTCCACATCGGTCACAGCTGTACGGCTTCTCTCCTGCGTGGATTCGCTGATGAACTTTCGAGATGGCTGAAACTTTTGCTGCAGTAGCTGCAGACATGAGGCTTCTCTCCTGTGTGGATCAGTTGATGTTGCTTAAGAGATGATAGTTGGCTAAAAGTCTTTCCACACACGTCACAGAGGAAGGGTTTCTCTCCAGTGTGGACACGCAGATGTTTCAGAATTGAGCTGGTAGAAAAACTCTTGTCACAGTGACCACAGCGGTGAGGTTTCGTGAAACCTTTTCTCCTTCCAGTCTGTCCAGACTCCTCCAGCTTTTGCTCTGAAACAAAAACATTCATTTAATCCAAGGAGCATAAATGAGCCTGTAGAAAACTGCAACATGCTCAGGTGACTCACATGTTCCAGTGACGACATGTTGTCTCAGTTTCTTTTCTTCATATAGGAGTTAACACCAGAGATCAAACAGAGACCATTTTCACAATGTGGAAATGAAAGACTAACCTCGAATCATTTGTTTCCTTCAACTTTTTGTGCATTCTTTGAAATAAAATGTAAACATCTAGGAATTAAAACCATTACAGGTGAATTAAGAGCTTTAGATGAACTAGAACAACAGGGTTTGAATCTTAGATACAGGGGTTGGATCGCTTCAGGCTGCAGTGTGAACACAGCCTTAGTGGCAGCAGGTGCAGCGGGTCAGGCGGTGTTTCAGACCTGTTCGTCGCCCTCTTGTCACTCGCCGCTCACACCACGGCTCATGGAAAGGCACGCGCGCTCTTTGGCTAATTTTAACCGTCATTTCATCAAGTTCTGGAGAGACGAAACCCAGATCAACCGAACTGCCTCCTCCTCTCCAGCCGACAGCGAAGCCACAGTTTCTGTAATCTCTGGACACTTCGTCCGACTCTGTCACTGCTGAAGTGGGAAGATGGCTTTTTACAACTTTACCTTCACTCTCCATGGCAGCAAAGTTCACAGATTTAGAGTGGTTAATGATTCATTTGGATTCATTTTCCAAATTAAAATAATATTACAACTTGGTTGACTGCAAAATCTTAAACCTAATGCACATTTTTCTTATTCACAAATTGTAAAAATAATAGCTACAGATGCAAATATCAGTAAAGTTGTGTAGTAACTAGTTTCATTTACTCAATTACATTTTTTAAAATATATATTTTTAGGAGTACTTTTACTACGCTGTATTTTTTATTTTTTTTTTTTTTTTTTTTACTTTTACCTGAGCAATCTTATTAAGGTTAAAACAACTGTTGGTTGGGATTTTTCAAAACAAAACAGTTTGAGGAAAGATGTTCTATTATTCTAAAATGTTAAAAATTATTGTTTATACACTGCAAAAACACAAAATCTTACCAAGTAAACTCTTCATCTATCATCAGCCAATGCTGTCACTTTTGTTTAAATAGAATGCTTTTTTAGATTTTAATCTTATTATTGTGAAATTTGAGAATAATTGTCAAGGTCTATACACTGCAAAAACACAAAATCTTAATACATTTTTGCTGTTTTTTTCACCTTTGAGGAAAAAAACACCAAAAACAGATCAAAACAAATATCGGTTGTTCATATTGGTCCAGTTTTAGTTAAAGGGTCGATACCGATAAATAATGTTGGTGCTGATATATCGTGTATCTCTAGATAATTTCAATTATATTAAGTCTTTTTTTCCCCATCTGATCTAACTTTGTTAAATCAATACTAATGAACTGACTAAAACAAGCTCCTGAAAAGTTACTTTTAAGTTATTTTTGCCGTATTTCAAGTGTACTATTTCCACCAGAAACTAGATAACAATGGTAAGATTCTGAGTTTTTGCGACGCATTTTATTCTGCATTGGTAAACACCAAATTCAAACAGTAAAAAATGATTCCCAGTCAATGTTGAAATACCTCTGAGCTGTGAACGTTTTTCTGTTTGGTTGGTCATTGAAACTCCTTTGTGGCAAATTGTCCCAAACAAATCGAGTAATGTTCGCCGGATTTGTCAAGAAGCCACTTCCCTGGTTGACCTTCATCTGAGCCTAAATGTCTGTTTTGTGTCTGAACGCTCTCCAACTGCCAGGTATGTGTCTGCTGTTTAAGCTAAGGCAGAACTTCGAGGCGTTTATTTATAAAACTGAGCTCTACGTTAAAAATCAAGCTGTCAAAGCCGGATCACAATTCTTTTTTATCTAGACAACGATGAGTTAAACAGAGTTTGTGTGAATTTACTTCGAGCTTATTGCCTGGTTTTTGTTTCTGATTCAGTTTTGTTTCGACGGATTTATTTCAGCGTCGGTAGCGGCGGGATTCAACAGCAGATGTTTAAAAGATAAAATAAGAAAAAGCATTTTGGACGTAAGCTTGTCGTAACTGTGGCTGGCGCGATATGTCAGAGGTGTGCCTGCACCCGGAGGATGTTTCTATTTTGAGCACTTTGTGATGTGGAGTGAAGGAGAGTTGACTGATCAGGGTCTGCTCTCCGTCAGTGTCAGACTGCGGAAAGTTATCCGCCGGAAAGGTTAGCGCAACTACCGGTCGGGATCTTTCAAAATAAAAGCCTTTGAGGAAAGGTTTCCAAAGAAAACGTTAATAAACTCTTATGGTGTTGTTACGTTCTATGAGCTGTTTAAGTAAATTAATATGAAGTAAAACCAGAGTTGGAAGGTAACTAGTTACATTTACTCAATTACTTTTGCTTGAGTAACTGTTTTTTTAAATTTACTTTTAGGAGTTTTGTACTTTTTACTTTTATTTGAGTAGTTTTATTATGAAGTATTTCTACTCTTACTTGAGTAAAATTTCTGAATTTTCTACCCACTGAAAAACAAACATGTTTTAACCAAAAAATCACCAGACACAAACACACACCTGCACTGTTTGTTGAAGCTTTATATGTTTATTATTGAAAGAAACTGATTTGGAACATTTTCTTTTGGCTGATTTTGTTATTTTTGATTATTCTGACTGGTCCTATTCACTGGTTTTTACAGAAACAAGTCGATAAAACTCAAATAATAATGATTTTGGTCCATCTGATGATGTAATTTTTAAATATTACATGATTGATAGTCTGATCAGATGTAAATATAATTGGAGTTGGATTACATTTACTCAGTTATATTTACTTAAATAACTTATTTTGGAAAATTTTACTTTTAGGAGTATTTTGTATGTTTTATTTTTACTTCAGTAATTATATTATGAAGCATTTCTACTCTTACTTGAGTAAAATTTCTGAATTTTCTACCCACTGAATGAAAAACAAACGTGTTTTAACCAAAAATTCACCACCCCTAATTAGATGAAGAAAAATGAAAAATTATTCATTTCTCAGGTAACTGAGGTGTGTTGGAGCAGCAGTGGAGCCAAAAGCTGCAGCCCAGTCGCACCACCTCATTTAGGTTTGGAGTTTGGCCTAGTCAAAGTCCAAACCTGAATGAGTTTGTTTGGATAAAAGAATGTGACAACTGTCATTTTCAAGATGTGGAAAGATGCTTCTGGAAAGTATTACCTCAGGTTGATTTTGTTTGGAAAATGTTTGGAAAAGCATCTACACTGCAAAAACACAAAATCGTACCAAGTATTTTTATTAACTTTTTAGTGCTAAAATCTCAGTACACTTGAAATAAGACAAAAATAACTCACAAATAACTTTTCTGCTATATGTAGGAGCTTGTTTCAAGTGAATAATTCCTTAATATTGATGAAAACGTTCTTGCTCCACTGGCAGATAATTTCACTAAAACAAGACATTTTTTGCCATTTTAAAGTACAAAATAAAATCTACAAATAGACCTAAAACTTTTTAAAATTAATATTAAGGAATTATTGATTCAAAAGAAGCTCCTATATTTTACTAAAAACGTACTTGTGAGTTGTTTTGTTTTTTGTCTTACTTCAAACTAGACAGAAATACTTCGTAAGATTTTATTTTTGCAGTGTAATCTTCTTTCCAGTTTACAATTTCTGCTTGAGTTAGTCTATCATATAAAATAAACAAATAGTAATTAGCAGCACATAAATAAATAGGGATGTTTTTAAACCTTAACATTAAATAACGCAACAGAAAAATTATTATATTTAATTTTGTAACATTTTGGCCAGAAAGAGGTAGACAGTTTTACTTTGAAGGCTAAATGAGAGTTTCCGCTGTGGCTGAGAGTCAGTTCTGTGCAGCTTGGGGTGACAGGGAAGAGGAGCGGATCAGTAAATCTGGAAAACGGGACCTTCCTCCTCCTCCTCTGCATCCTTATCGCGCAGCGTTCAAACCTGAGTGGGATTAAAACCCAAACTGACGGCTTTTTTACTCGCTTCACAACTTTCCTCGTTTCTTCTGAACGATCCTGGTGTTTATTTACCGACCTGACTGCTGCAGTATTAAAGTGAACTTTTTCAGGTTTTTTCCTCTCCTGCATCTGCCATTGCCGGGGTAACCAGCCCTCCTCTCCATCCTCTTCCATCGCATCAGAACCTGTTTGTTTATTAACTCCGAACTGAACCCAGTATTTTCTGTTTAATTTGTTTAATACCCTCTCCGCTGTTTGTTTTGTTTTTTAATGTGCGTGGTTATTTTAAACCGGTGAAGTTCATGCGTCAACATGCCTGTAAGACGCGGTCATGTTGCGCTCCAAAACACATATTTGGACACAATCATCAAGAAATTCGACGAACGAAGTAAGTGAAATGAAAATTTATTAATCTGCTGAAGAAAATTTTACTCGTAATAATATTCTGCAAGCCTGTTCTTTCCTAAAAAAAAAAACAAAAAAAAAAAAAAAACAAAAAAACTGTAAAAATAAAGTTAATCCTTCATAAACTTGTTTAGCATGAAGTTCTCCATTTGTTGTACATTTTTGTTTTCATTCGGCTGATTTTTTAATTTTATTGTCTGGCAGGTGAGAGATTGTTTTCTTTTTTTTAAACATATGTTTTATGCTGCAGTTTAATTACACCTGCGTGTAGTAGCGCAAAAAAAGTGAGTATCCACTATAGGGGCGCCGCTACAGGGGGCGCCGCAAAACCATGACGGAATAATTAATTTTAGTTAATTGTCTGTATTTACAGCTGTTTTTACATTGAAAAAACAGTGTCTACATACACCTCAAAGTACTATATCTGCTCCCCTGCCTCTCATAATGCCCCATTTTCCATTCTTTCACATGGAGAGACAACCAAAAATCTTCCCCCACATCCAGGATTTTGGAAAAGGACAGATGTTGCATGTAAAGTAAACCTAAACCTCACATTTAGTCTGTTCTTATATTTTTAAACTCCGTCACTTTTCCCTCTGACTCTCTGCCTTTGGTCATGTCTGATTCTTGGAGGCTCCTTTTGAGGGAAAAGTCTATTATGTAATGCCTGAACTGTGTCCCTAAAAGTGCGTGCGCATGTGCACGGCCAGGTGAGCGCACGTGCAACAGTGGTGCTGCTTAGCAACGCCGTGACGATCTGTGTGAGCCCCAGATAATGACACTGGACAGGATGTGCTTTCCACCAGAGACGCTCAGACGTTTACTTTAAAGAGAAAACTCCCCCTGCTCCGCTCTCATCTGTGTGGGCAGCGAACAGCTGGATCCACCAAAGCTGTGATAAAAGAGGCAGTTTGAAGCAGCTGAGTTTATTTATGCATCTTCCACAGTTCATTTAACTCCTTTATTAGCTGCCCTTGTAGAATTTGTCCCAATTTATCTTCATGCTGCATTTTATTGCTGATTTGTGAGCGAGATGGGCAGCAACTAATAAGAGTTGGATATTGTTTATGTTTGAACAACTAGAGCTGCAACTAACAATTATTTTTTTGATGATTAATCGATTAATCGGATAACAAATTGACACATTCTGAATATGTTCCACTTTGGCTGTACTATAAACACATGAAAAATGTAAATTTAGTTCCTTTTTAAATCAGAAAATAAAAAAAATATTGCCTAAAATGCAATAACAAAGCATTCCTTTAGTGTGCACTTATTTCAGATATCAACTAATCGATTAGTTTTGATGATTAATCAAACAGTTGGACAAAAAATTCGCACTTTTTGCAGATTTTACACTTAAGCCTTTTTCATAAAATATTAAAAATACATTGAAATAATAAATTCAATTCCTTTTTTAAATAAAAAAATAAAGAATTCATTGTCTAAAATGCAATGATATAGCTTTACTTTAGTGTGTGCTTGATAATTTGTAATAAAACTGCCTGCATCCGATTATTTCAGATATTGATTAATCGACAATTGATTATTTTTGACGATTAGTTGAACAATCAGATAAAAATTTGGCACATTCTGCAGATTTTTCACTTGAAGTTTTTCTAATAATTAATAATTTATAAATAAGAAAATAAAATTGTTATTGCCTAAAATGCAGCAGCATATTCCTTTAGTGAACTTTTGATCATTTGTAGCAAATGATGCATCTGCAGCCATGAAAATACTTCTGATTTAAAAATGTGAAGCTCATTGTCTTTCTGCTTGACTGAACATTGATTTTTTTATTTTCTGGATTAACCAACTAGCAAAAGATGATTAACAGATTTTCACTGAATTGTAACTGAGTGAAGCTAAAATTAAACCACTTGAGTTTTGAGTTTTGGGTAGAACTTATTTATAAAGTTATTTTTTTAATCCTAAACACAAAATATGTATAATTTGTACAGTTTTGACTTAATTACTGCTCTGACTGTTGTTTTTCTTAACAAATTGCCTTTTTTATCAGTCTGTGTATTCCAGCTAATAATTAATTGATTGCTAGTCGATAATTACTTCAATAATTGATTAATTGCGATTAATCTAATTAATTATTTCAGCCCTAGCTTTAAGAGTTTGACAGGTTTTGCAGCTGAAACAGTTCTGCAACTGTTTTTTCCCTGAGGGACGGAGATGATCGATGGTGTTGTGTGACCTCTCCAGGAAGGGGTCATTTACTGCCGAAGAGACACAGCAGGGGGTTTTGCATACAGAGATGTGTGGAGGTAGAAAACGTAAAGAAAAATGCTTGTAGTGTAGCTCCAGTTAGGTTGATTACTTCCCTGTTCAGACAGATTTGTTTAATATTTGTGTCTGCTTTAACAACTGACAAGGCAAACCACATTTATTTGATTATTTGACTTACTGATTATTCAAGCTATTATTCTGATCATTAATCTATTAATTGGATAAAAAAATTGGCACATTACTCAGATTTTTCATTAAAACAACTAAAACACTTTTTATACAATATTAGAAATACATTAAAAGATTAAAATGTTTAATTCCAATTTCTTTTGTAAATAAAATATTTTCTTACCTAAAATATAGTAACATAGCATTCCTTTAATTAATACTTTGCAGAAAAGGATACTTAAAAAAAATACTTCTAATAACGTGAAAAGATCAATCCGTTCTGCTTGACTTACCTTAAATAATGTAGGACTGATCTGTTGATTATTAACCGATTAATAATGAGTCAGCAAAAGTGTTTAAGTGTTTGATATTAGATTTATTTAACTGAATTTGAACCAGATGCATAGCACAGCCAAAACTATGCTACTTGATGAGTTTTGGGTAAAGACAAAACCATGCAAATGGAAATGATCGAGTTTGTTTTAATTTATCATGCAAATAATATTTATATGATTTATTGCAACATGCATAGTTATGAATAAACAAAATAAAAACATCTAGTACACTAAACGATAAAATTATAATTGAGTTTTACTGTAAACTGAGTCAATAAAGATTTTAAATAAAGATGAAATTGGTTCAACTTGTTGACATAACAAGACTCAAATAAGATGGACAAATAAGAAAGCAACTATATGTAATTTAAAAAAGGTTAAAAAGCTTTAAACACATTACCTGAGAAAAAATGTTACACAATAGTGTTTCAATTAAAGTGGCCATCTGCTTCTTGTCAAATCCCCTGGGAGGAACCGGGACGCTAATAGCGTTAGCGCCGTGGAAAACTGGACAGCGTCAGCTCCACTTTAGCTTATTGTCAGCTGAAGACGAGGAGAACCAGTTCATTGAAAAGCCGTACTGGAAATTAATCCACCCTGACCTCCAGGCTGATTCAATCACACCCTATCTGTAGACGTTTCTGTTGCAACTGTGCTACTTCTTCCAAGAATAACCGTGACCTTGTTTGACCCCTTTCTTGCAAGATCGCAAGTTTCTGATCGCCAATGCCCAGATGAAGAACTGTGGGATCATTTACTGCAATGAAGGTTTCTGCCAGATGTTCGGCTTCACCCGGGCAGAGATCATGCAGCAGCCCTGCACCTGCCAATTCTTGGTTGGTCCTGGCACCATGAAGAGCGCCCTGGCCCAGTTAGCGCAGGCCCTGCTTGGGTCCGAGGAGCGCAAGGTGGAGATCCTCTACTACTCCAAGGAAGGTGAGGAATGGGAGACAAAAACAGGCCTGGGGAGATGAAATGAGTCAGAAGGTGGCCTCTCGTATCAAAACGTAAACAATCTTAACAATAACATGTTTAAAAGCCCAAAGTTACAGAGACGTCTCTGTCTGCAAAATGAACAGATTCAGTAAAACCCTGCAGGTTCTCTGTAAACAAAACTTCCAGCATGTCTTCTTTGAAAGACAAATTTTTATCTTACTTACATTTTTTTGTTACTGTTTGCTTGAAACTACAGAAGTGAGCCCCACATCCAGTGGTGTCCCCGAAAAGGGAACCAAAGGGGCCCATAGCCCCCTCTTAAAACTTGTTGATCATTCCACTGACCTCTCAGATAATCATGTTCAGGACACAGAAAGGCAAGGAAAGATAACTTTACTTATATAGCACCTTTTAGTTAGAAACAACTCAAATTACTTGTACAGAGAAGTTAAAAACAACATATAATAAAAACACATCAAACAGATTACAGTTAAACTGGTTTAAAAATAATTTAAAAGTAGGACAGAGTAGAAAAAAATATCGAGCAATCTTCTTCAGTCAAGACATAAATGTAAATCTCAATGCACAAATTAAAATTTTATATATAATTAGGTTCCATAGGAAATTAACGGAGGGGAATGTTTCTAAATCAATGTTTAAAACAAAATGGCTTCCTGAAAAACCTGGAAACCTGATCATCTTCAGGGAATAAAACTTTTTTTTTTTAAACCTGCATGTAGTGATGTTTGTTTTTATATTGGCTGTGTGGGCAGTTGTCCAGGGCATCATCAGAAAGGGGTGGAGCGCCCTAGAACTAAAACATAAAATATATCTGATGTGTCAGTTGTTCCCTGAACAGGTTTGCTACTACTGTATGCATGTGTGGCAGAGAAAGTTTCCCTTAGTTGTTTTTGAGTATTGAGAGACGACATTACATGCTGTCTGCTAATTAATTGCTTGCATTTTAATTGGTTGGAGTGCAATATATGAACATGTTTATATTTCAAGCTTACAAAGTTAGGCATAGTGATCAATCGTGATTTATGTGATTAATCACTATTAGTGTGGTTAATCTTGATCACTCATGATTAATTATGGTTCATTGTGATTAATCACGGCATGAATGATCTTTAATAATTATAATTAATCGCAATTAAGTAGTGTGATTAATCACAATTAATTACAGCCTGTTTAATCATAATTATTAAGTAGTGTGATTAATCATGATTATGATCTATTACAGCATGATTAACCTATTCAACTTGTTAATCGATTGACCGCACTAATATAAATATTTAAAATCAACAGGTCCCCACAGTTTTTCACAGTAAGACATATTTTACACAAAAATGGTGAAAAACCTGGGTTTAAGTAATTTTAATGTGTTTTATCAATGTATTCTGGAACAACTGGCTCTGTAAGAACATTCATAATCTTTTTTTTTTTTAAAGGCTTTATTGGCCTTTATGTCACATTAAGGTGGGTAATGAGAGAAGGGGAAGACATGCGGTGAAGGTTGCCAGGCCAGGAACTGAACCTGCGACAGCTGTGTTGAGGACCAAGGCCTCCATATAAGAGTTGTGCTGAACCCCTGCGCCACCACAGAACATTCATAATGTTGATATGGCCCAAAATGAAAATGAGTTTCACATCCCTGGTCTATAATATCAGATCCTGGTCAAATACTTTGAAGCTGCTGCATGACTAAATAGTTTTTAAAAGGTTTGCTGTCCTTTAAACTGTGTCCAGTATTGTTTTTATGAAATCAGCTTCAGAAACTGGAGTAAAGTGTCTCTTTGTGACTTAGGGATGACTCAAAACTTTTGCCCAGTGTTCTCCTTTCGGCATCTCGTCGTGAGGCACGCTGTCTGGTGTGTTGTTGTCATGGAAATGAGTTCATTGTGCCAGCTCAAATCCACTGAGCGTCTATTTGTTTTGTCTCCTGCTTCCCGCTGCGCTCCCAGCCTGATCAAGAGGGAAATGAGGGAACAAGTGAATGCAACATGATTCAGAAATGAAACCGACTCTCCAGGCTGAACCCTGGCTTGTCGAACGGACGCAGACAATCTGTTTGCATGCCTGGTCCAGTGTCGGATCTGTGTAATTTTTGTATTTCTATTTCTGGATCTGACTGATTTTAACCTGCCCTTTATCTCCCTTTCTCGATTTTTCCCACAGACTTCAGTGGTTATCTGTATGTAGGGGGTATAGCTCAGTGGTAGAGCATTTGACTGCAGATCAAGAGGTCCCCGGTTCAAATCCGGGTGCCCCCTTCTCATTTTAAATATATTTCTAAAGCTCTTTTTGTTTGCAGGGATTTGTCGACCCTGCCGAGTGGATATCGTACCTGTCAAAAACGAGAAAGGCCATGTGATAATGTTCATCCTCGACTTCCAGGAGCTCATTGACCCTTCGCTCAAGAAGTCAGGCTTAAGGCAGAGAGTCACCCAAGGATGGCTTTACTGTAAATACACTTTCAGATTTAAAAACCATAACATTTTGTAATAAATGAAAACCTGTCTTTAATTGTTAATCATGACTATATGGAGTAACACCTGTAGTTTTTAAACTTTGACAAGATAGTAGGGATGCAAACAATTAATTGACTTATGATTAATTGTTAATTAATGGTTTATTAGATTAAAATGAGCTACATAAACATTTTATAGACTTAACAAAATGGAAAATGATAAGCCCAAAAAATTTAATAATTGTAAACATTAAGGCAAAGGTAAAATATTACATGTTTTATTTATTGTTTTTCAGACAAATGGGGGAAAAAATCTTATTATTATTATTATTTTTCTATTGGAGGGGGAAAAAGAAAAGATTTGGCTTTGGAATACTTTCAACTTCGGGATTTTGACATCCCTGGAGTAGAAGACCGTGTTTTAGTGTTGTAGTTTGGCTGCCATCCAGCAGAGGGCGCCGGTGGTCACCCTTAAGCAGTTGATACCGAATTCAAGATGGCGGCGCATCCCAGAGTAGAAAAGAGAGACGATCCAGACGGAGTCCGGTGTGGGATGCTAAATGCTCTTTATGCGGTTCTGTTTTAAAACATAAACACTCAACAAAGTTCTTAAGTTTCACTTTCAGCCGAGTTTCAACTTCTCAACCTGAAATTACTGATGTGCCGCGGAGGTGAGAATATGATGACAGAAAAGCGGAGAAAAATTCTAACATGACAGATAGCAAACAGCAAGTTTAGTGATGTGAAAAACCACAGTTTAATCAGTCGGTAAGCTAACACAAAATAATGTTAAAATGTAATGTTTTTTAAATAAAGCATATTATGAAAACTTTAGCTCCTTATGTTGTGAAAAGACCATCGGCCCTGTTAATATAAGAGAAAACTCATGTTTTTTAAGAAAATGGCCGCTTGCTTATCAGATCCCTACAAGGTAGAAAAGCAAACATTTATTTTAAGAACCCCTTTTCAAGCAAAAATAATAAAGTAATGTTAGTATTCAGACATTTGTATCTGAATCTGAAGTTGTAAGTTTTTCCCCTTGCAGGTCAGAACCGCCGGCTGAAGATGAGACTACCAGAACTTCGCTCCCTGCAAAGGCCGTCGCTGGCCAAAGATCAGTGCGAAGGGGTGGTGGTGGATTACCTGCAGGTGAGATATTTATGGCACACAATGCAGAACTACCAAAAGTAGCTTATAATTGAAAAAATATCTAATATCCTTCTTTCAATGCCTAATTTGACTTGCAGAGAAAAAAAATACAAACAAAACATTTCCTTTAAGCTTGGTTTCTACAATGACGAGTTTACATTTATAGATTTCTTTTTTGTGTATACACAGCTGCTGTTGCTCCCACAGCATTGATAATAAAACAGGTTTGGAGAGTGAGAGGAAAGTTTCCAAGCTCTCATTAGTGTTTTCTCAATGTCATTATCATTGCTAATTTAAAACAATTTCTCCAGAGTAATGCGAGTCATTTCCTGTTTGTGTGAATACCTCATGACTGATTTTGTGAGAAAACAGCAAACAAAAAATAAGGTATTAGCGGACAAATACTTTTTCATATCAGTTTGCAACCTTTGTAAGGCCTCAGTTTATATTTCTCTTCTGAAAAACATTCCTTTACTTGTGTTTAGTCTTTCTTTGTCCTCTGAGGATGTAAACTTGTTGGAAGAGACTTCCTGACAGTATCTCTTCATGACACTGGCCCTGAAGCAGGCCAAGAAAACATAGCTGACATGAACGTGACTCTATTTTCACCCATCTGAATAATAATCATGCACACACATTTTTGACAGTTATCTTACTCCATATAAGACAGGAAATTTTGAGTTGTAACAAATATATTGGTGTGTTTAGAATCCAAGCTGCTCTTTCTAGTTAAATGTGCCAAAAAGGTGGACTAAAAATAATTGTTTTATTCAATATAAGTAATATTTTGTAAAGTTAATTGCTAACTGGAGCATAAAGACTCAAAAGAGGCCATTTGGTGAAGGAACAACATATTCAAAGCAGAAATTAAGTCAAAACTATTCACAAATATATACATTTTGTCTATAAAATAATAATAATAATAATAATAATAATAATAATAATAATAATAATAATAATAATAATTAAAAACTTAATTATATTTATGTTCCGCACAAGTGGCAGTTTTAGATTCTCTCAGTTAAAATTCAATAATTAATTGGTTAATCCAAAAAATAATCAACAGATTAGCCCTACACTGCATTGATAAGTCAATCAGAAACGACTGAGCTTTTTGCATATTGTTAGTATCTTTTGCTACAGTCAATAAAGTATTAACTAAAGGAATGCTGTGTTGTTGCATTTTGTGCAATAAAATGTTTATTTTCTTATTTAATAAGGAAAATTAATTATTTATTTGGACCATTTAATGTACATCTAATACTGTATAAAGTGGCTTAAATGAAAAATCTGCACAATGTGCCATTTTTTTATTCTATGAATTGTCAGAATAATTGATAAAATAATTGATTTTAGATTTTAGAGCGCCTTTCTTTTCTAATGTGGTTGAGAGAATTAGGAAATTTGCTCCACCTGGAGAAAATAAGATTTTCTGTATCTTGACTAACCAAGAAAGTGTATTTTATATTTGTCAGTCAGGACTTGGCTTGATAAACTCAAATAATAAGCACTCTGCATGTATTTTATAGGCATATTTTGGAAAACCATGTTATTTTGTTTGTGTGGCTTATAATTGTATTTTGTATGTTGGTAATCTATAAAATCAATGAAGTATTCACAAAAATGAATAATTGAGTATTAAAATAGTAGTTGTAGGCTAGTTACTGGACGATAAATTGTCCCAGAAGTTATTGCGATAAATGATAATATCATTGTTTTGAGACCATTTTCAAGTAATGTTATCGTGATGGCGTAATAATGCAAAAACAAATCCTCAAAGAGGAAACTTTAAATTCTAATGAACATTTAACACTGGAACTGGAATCAATTAATCACAAATACAAAGTTATAGAAACACAGTCAACAACAGAGAAAACCATTAAACATTACATTTTGCTAAGTGCCATCGTTACACATCAAACTGTTGGTCCGTGTTTCACTTATTATGGTTCAAAAACAACTCTAACAAATAAAACAACAGAAACTAGGGATTCACGATATATCGGCACCAATATCGGTATCATCCCGCTTTTATTTATCCGGCTGATTTTAGCAACCGATGTTTTTGTTTAGCTTTGGTGATCTTTGATTTATAGCTAACATGAAATGAGCTGCTCATCCTGCCTTTGTTTGTAGGATGAAATGACTGTAAAATGTATCTTCTCCTTTGTAATGTTTTATATTACAACTCATCTACAGCCGCGCAGCGAGGACATCCCTCTGAAGGAGTTTCGGATCCCTTCGAAGGAGAGCTGCATGCAGTCTGAGACTGAGGCTTTAATCGAACAGGACCTGGATCCCCCCTCGCCTGCTGCTCAGTCCTTCACCAAACGGCGCTCATTGCTGGCGGAGCGGCTGGACCCCAGCATCTCCTTCACCAGGGGGGCGCTGCCTCGAAGCTGCTCCAATGAGAGCGTCCGCAGCCTGAGGCGGGCCTCGTCTCTGGATGACATTGACGGCATGAAAGCGGAGTGGAACAGTCGACCCGGGGAAATCCGAACCCACAGCAGTGAGTACCAGAGAGGGAGCTGTCAGATCCACTAAGGACGACCTTATTACGCAAAATTCAAATTTTTATACTTCCATTGGGGCCTCTACTGCTTCTAAATTCAAAAGCACTTTATTGATCTCAAAGGGAAATGAAATGTTGTTGTAACTTATATTAATTCAAAAAAAGCCACCGAGCCATTTTTTGGCAATAAATTTATGTTTATTAAAGCAACATTGCAAATCTGCAGGCACTGCCCCTCACCTAGCAACCCCAGAAAAGCCCAGCTTGTTACCTAGCAACCCCAGCAGAATTCCGCCCGTCACCTAGCAACCCAAGCTGAGTTCCAGCACATTTAGTCAGCTGGTTTTACCGCTGTATGCTCAGTGCAATGGCTGGAGGAAAAGACAAAAGCACAAACATTTTACTAAGTGTTTTTAGTTTAATTTCTAGTGCAAATACCTTAGAAAACTTGACATAAGATAAAAGTAGCTTATAAGCGAGATATAGGAGATTTCTTTAAGTCAGTAATTCCTTAATGTTTATGAAAAAGTTTTAGTTCCATCGGCAGATTATTTCTCATGTTACAAGTGAAATCATGTGCCAGAGGAACTTGTACTTTTTTCATGAATATTAAGGAATTCCTGACTTAAAACAAGCTGTTTCATCTTGCTAAAAAAGTTTGTTTTGTCTTATTTCAAATGTACTAAGATATTTGCACTAAACTCGACCACAAATACTTTTGTGTTTTTGCATTAAAGTGTTTTGTTGTTTACTTACTGTTGAGAAACCACCTGCTGGATTCTAAAAAACACCTGTTGCATTTTTGTTGATTGTGCAGGAGGCTCCACTTCTGCTTTTTAAAGATGTACAGTTGTATAACTGAGTATCTGTTTGTATGTAATTAGAGTAGATGTTGAGTTGGGGAGCAGTTTATTTGGATTTAAAGTGACAGGAGGCCCTGAAACTGAGCAGACTAAAATCTCATTATCTCAGAATGATTTTGTGCAAAAAATGCAATGAGCATGTTTCGTGTGGCCCATGAACGTTTCCTAACCTGTTAAGGAAGCATAATAGGTCAAAGTATTATTGATAAAAATAAATGACATTACCTTTCATAGTTTTATTTCTGTGTCGTCTTTGCTGATGTTTGCTTCTCGCTGCAGACCTGAAGCCCAGCGCTTTGAACTCCACCTCCGACTCAGATCTTATCAGACACAGAACCATCGGACGCATCCCGCAGGTCACCCTCACCTTCGGCTCAGACCGACTCAGACCGCCCTCGCCTACTGAGATTGAAATCATTGCGCCCAGCAAGGTCAAAGACCGAACCCAGAACGTCACTGAAAAGGTCACTCAGGTCACGCAGGTGAGATCTTTCTTCTTCTTTTTGTTTGGAGTCGCCGCAGAAAAGGAGAACTGATATGTTTTTGTTTCTTGTTGATCATTGAAATAAATGTCAACTAATTTAGTAATCGATTAATTGTTAACTGGAGGATTTGCTGAAAGAACAACACAGTAGTGATTAAATAAAAGAAATATAAATAGTAGTGATTAAATAAAAGAAATATAAAAAATGTAAAAATACAAAGAAAATATTTGTCTGTAAATGTGTCCTATCTTGAACTCTTCTTGAAAGAGCTGAGCTGAGCATTACATATGTTAACTTTAGAAGTATTTTTGTGGCGGCAGATGCATTTTTTTCCTGAGTTCACTAAAGAAGAGCTGTTATTACATTTTAATTAATTAAATGTTTGGTTTCTTATTTAAACAATTACTTGAATTATTTGCCTATTTGCATATTTTGATGAAATTTTAATGTATAAAAAGACTTAAATGGTTAAATGAAAAATCTGCAGAATGTGTCTTTTCAAATTTGGTTCTTTTTAGTTTTTCCAAAGAGCATTTTCTGTTGACAGTCATATTCTTCAGTCTCACTTTGGTTTATTAAATAATAATCATATCTGCTGATGATTAGTTGGGACTTTTTGTCTATAAATGGCATATTCCTCTGGTTTCCTGAACATACCCAAAGACATCTGCAGTCACAGGGTGAACGTGTGAAATAATCATCTCACCTGAGGTGTAACTACATTAATGTTTTCTACAGAACAAATTCAGCTTCTTGTTATCACTCCAAGCTGTGCTGATGTACACCTTTCCTGACAACACAGGAAGTGCAACACTGAGAAAAAAAAAACTAAAATATGAGTAAAGAAAACTGTTAAATCTGATTTAAAGTGGAACTACTAATAAATGAGCTTGCAGAACCTTCACTTTTTTCTGCTGTAGCCACAGACAAATTGAGGTTCTGTTTAGGATCACTGGGTTTCAGCTGCATCTGAAAGCAACCGAAGTGTTTAAAAATAAAACACTCAGACCTTTTTTGGCAGTAAATAATTTTTTTTGGAGTCTGGAAAACAAGCAGTTTAATAAAACCTCCTGAATGTAACTTCACAAATCAGCAGGCACTGACCCTCACCTAGTAACCCCAGAGAAGCCCTGCCCGCTACCTAGCAACAGCAGCGGAATTCCTCCCGTTGCCTAGCAACCCAGCTCCAGCACGTTTGGTCAGCTGGTTGTAATGCTGTATGAGCTGTACAATGGCTGCTGGAACAGACAAGTGTTTTGTTGTTGACTTAACCATCCAGAACCCCCTTTTTGTATTTATGTTGGATGTACAGGAGGCTCCACTTCTCCTTTTCAAACATGAATAGTTATATAATTGCACATCTGTTTGCAGCCATATTCATGGGCGAGAGTAAATGTTAAGTTGGGGAGGGCGTGGCCAGCCGAACCAGATTAAAATCTCATTAACTAAGAGTTATTTTGTGTAAAAAATGTGACGAACATCTTTTGTGTAGCTCAGGGGTCCCCAAACTACGGCCGGCCCGCCTCCACATTTGGTCCGGCCCCCTGAACAATACCAGCATTCAGATTTTTTTTTCATTTATTGTATTTTCCGGTTTATATGTGTATTTTTCTTCAACCACCAGGGGGCTCTTTAGCAGGAAGTGTGTCCTGTAAACTGTTGGACTTTTAGGGAACTGCTTGACTTTTATGTTATTTAATCAGTACGGTTGTTTGCTAGCGGTAGAGCAGATGAACACGTATCTGTTATGAACGCCGCATTCCAGGTTGAATTCTTCGAACCAATGCCTGTAAGTAGCAGCTTATACTTCAAAACGAGCCTTTATGTTAACATATGAGAAATTAATATGTTAAAGTTATATTCCCTCAATGCAATATATACTAGTCAGTCCCAGTGACCGTTTCACTCATGGGTTTTGCCCATGT